AAAAAAAAAAAAAAAAAAAGTCATGGAAATAAGAAAGCTGGAGAACTGAAATTACTAGACCCCCCTGAAGTGGGACTCAGACACTAAATTAATAGTGGGCTTCCCTCACCAACCCTGACAGAGGCCAGCATCTGCTTTGCTTCGCTCTCAGCCCTGAGGTGGGGTCCAGATGCTGCAGTATGCTTTGTACCCTTCTGAATCAAGGAAGGTAGCCGGAGAGGAAACCAAGGCTTGGGGAGCAAACCGCTGCCTGCTTTGGTGTCCTTCAGGGTTTTCCAGCCCTGAGATAAGTGCGGGGGAGGCATTTACTTTCCTTGGGGCAAACGCCTCTTATCCATCAAGGCACAGGTCTGAAGCAGGTGGCGCAGAACACTTGCTCGCTACATCACCGCTGCTGTAATTACTGTTTATGTCAAGTGTATCTCCTGGGATCTCTGGGGCCCTCTGCAGCCTGGGGAAGGTTTGGGCTGAAGGCCCCTGGGGTCTGGGAGCTTTCTTGCTCTGCAGGGTTTTCCACAGTGCCCTAGGGTGTTTCTGTGAAAAGCAAAACCTAAAACAGCCATCAGGAGAGCAGGAGGGGATTAAAAGTTAGGATGCGGTCAGCTCTACTCTGCCTGCCTCTCAGAAGGGTGCCGGAGGGGTTAATTAATACAAATTAACAAACGCCCTTGCCTGTTCATCAGATGCCCCTGCAGGTGATGACCTGCCAGGCTGATGTCTTTCCTGGGGACTCCACTAGTGGCTGGAGAGTGTGTGGCAGTGCCCAGGGAGATGGTCACAGAGATGCAGAAGGGCCTGGAGGAGATTCCCAACCAAGGGGCTGGGGTTATAGGAGGGTATCTCTGAGGACTCAGGAACATTCTACGGGGAACCGAAGAGACCCAGGAGTCTCTCTCTTCACACACTGCATTTTGGGAGATGGTGAACTGGAGAGCAGGAGCCTTAAACCTAAGGCAGACAAAGCTACAAACCTATCTTTTAGCTTTGTGTTTGTAGCTCCCAGCTTCTGGTCTATGGGAGAGCGAGTTCCTTGTCTCTGCCCATAGTCAAGGGAAGCCCCTCAGGAGGAGCTAGTTTGTTTTTAAAAAATATTTATTTATTTATGAGGCAGAGTCTCACTCTGTCACCCAGGCTGGAATACAGTGTCATGATCTCAGCTCACTGCAACCTCTGCCTCTTGGGTTCAAGTGATCCTCCTGCCTCAGCCTCCCAAGTAGCTGAGACTATAGGCCCCTGCCACCATGCCCAGCTAATTTTTGTGTTTTTAGTAGAGACGGGATTTCACCATGTTGGCCAGGCTGGTCTCGAACTCCTGACCTCAAGGAATCCATCTGTCTCGGCCTCCCAAAGTGCTGGGATTACAGGCGTGAGCCACTGTACCCAGCCAGGAGGGGTTAATTTGTATTAATCATTAATGAGACCATGGACAGTGGAAGCCTTTCCCCATCATAAGGTTGCACAGACACATTTCGTGGCATTGGTGTTTGGCCATGGATTGCCAGATGCAGTGGGCTCTGTGGGTGTGATAAGGGAGAGACGCTCCCTGCTACCCATGAGTCATCTTTCCATGGTTGGAGCTGTCCTGTGGCCTCTCTATCCTTTGCTCCTTTTCAAGATCTTTCCCTCTTTCCTTTCACCTGCTCCAGGCATAAGCATGGGCCTCCTCTCTGCCTCCACAGAGGAGGCTCAGGGAGTGAGGCAGGCTGTCGAGGACAGGGACAGATCAACATGACCCAGGCCACCCTCAGACCCAATCCTGGCTGGACTATGACCCACAGCTGGGTTTCCCTGAACACACACCTTAATTAATCTCCCAGAGCTCGGCTGCCTTTCTTTTTCTTTTTTGAGATGGAGTCTCACTCTGTCGCCAGGCTGGAGTGCAGTGGTGCGATCTTGGCTCACTGCAACCTCTGCCTCCCAGGTTCAAGCGATTCTCCTGCCTCAGCCTCCCAAGTATCTGAGACTACAGGCGAGCATCACCATACCCAGCTAATTGTTGTATTTTTAGTGGAGATGGGATTTCAGCATGTAAGCCAGAATGGTCTCGATCTCCTGACATTGTGATCTGCCCACCTCAGCGTCCCAAAGTGCTGAAATTACAGGCGTGAGCTTGGCTACCTTTCTTGTCCATATCGAGAGAGGGACAGGTCTCCTCCCTACGTCCTGGGAGCTGGGATGTGGGAGGCACACTCTTGCTGGCCTTGTCCCCCACCAGCATGGTCTGGGCAGAGGCGCTTGGTTTACGGGAAACATTCTGTTACCCCACACAGTGATCTTGCCATACTGGTAATTCACCTGGACTTTATGTGTGGGCTGGGGTTGCTCCCTCAAGCTTTCTAATGGAGGCTTGCCTCTTGGGGAACAGGCTGGCTAGGTAGAAGCTGGCCTGCTTGGGGTCTAGGAAGGGAAATGAGAGAGGGGGTTCTGGGAGCCACCTTCCAGACTTGTCTTCTGATACCAAGCCTGGACCAGCTGCAAAACCCAGAGGGCAGCCAATCTGGCTGGTACCTTTGCCACAAGATTCCTTCTCGACTTGGCCAAATGGCCCACTGCTTCTGGTCCCGATTTTAGTGAGGGTAGGGTTCCCAGGGAAGCTGCAAGTGAGTTCACCGTATTTGGAGTGTCTGGGCCAAAGCTGGACCGCCAGGTCTGTTCAGTGGTGGCCGTTGTGTATCATTGTTTCTGCAGGAAGGTTGGCCAAACATTCTGGCTGAATGGTTTCCATCTTGTGTCACCCTAAAACCAGAAATTTGCGAAGCACTAGTGTGGCTACTCTGAAGGTGTTTTTTTTTTTTTTTTTTTTCTTGAGATAGGGTCTTGCTCTACCACCCAGGCTGGAATGTAGTGGCACCATCATAGCTCACTGCGACCTTAAACTCCTGGGTTCAAGCAATCCTCCCTCCTCAGCCTCCCGAGTAGCTGGAACGACAGGAACACACCTTCATGTCCGGCTAAGCTTTTTTTTTTTTTTTTTTTAAACAGATGCGGCCTCACTATGTTGCCCAGGCTGGTCTCAAACTCCTGCCCTCAAGCGATGATCCTCCCACCTCAGCCTCCCAAAGTGCTGGGATTGACAGGCGTGAGCCACCACACCTGGTTCGCTAAAGATTATTGATCAAAATAAAGTTTCTTTGAGGCCTCAGAAGGTTCTGGAGGTGATGCTAGAAACTTGCTCCCGGCTGTGCTGAGTGGAGACCAGCTGATCTCGGGCCATCGTTTTATCTCACCAAAACCTTAGCATAGAGCCCTTCCCAGCCACCCTCCCTGCGGGGTGGGCCCGCCCGCCACGCCCACCGCGCCTCGCGGGGGCTGACTTCCGGCTTTGTGTCCACAGGCTGCTGAACAGGATGTCCTCGGATGACAGGCACCTGGGCTCCAGCTGCGGCTCCTTCATCAAGACCGAGCCGTCCAGCCCGTCCTCCGGCATCGACGCCCTCAGCCACCACAGCCCCAGTGGCTCGTCCGACACCAGCGGCGGCTTTGGCCTGGCCCTGGGCACCCACGCCAGCGGTCTGGACTCGCCACCCATGTTTGCAGGCGCCGGGCTGGGAGGCACCCCGTGCCGCAAGAGCTACGAGGACTGCGCCAGCGGCATCATGGAGGACTCGGCCATCAAGTGCGAGTACATGCTCAATGCCATCCCCAAGCGCCTGTGCCTCGTGTGTGGGGACATTGCCTCCGGCTACCACTACGGCGTGGCCTCCTGCGAGGCTTGCAAGGCCTTCTTCAAGAGGACCATCCAAGGTGCGTGGTGGGCCTGGCCGGGCCTGGGCGCGCGGGGTGGGGGCTCGGGGGTGGCGGTCCTGCCTGCGGGTCCGGCAGAAACGCTGGGGATTCTGAGGCTGGCAATTCCGGGCGCTGTTGCAGCAGTGCTTCTGAGGGGCGTCTTTTCCCTTACTCGGGGTGTCTCGTTCTGGGGCTGGACAGCTGCAAGAAGGCTGTTGAAAGGACATGCGTTCCCCACCCTCTCAGTCCCCCATGCAGAGCCCCAGGAAACCCAATGAAAATCCACAGAATGCCAATCCCTGGGTGCTTCTCACTGGTATGGGGTACACTGTCAAATGTGTGTCCCTCAACAAGTTTATTTTGTGGGGGGAATAACACAATTTGCCTGCAATTCCAGATCAATCGGAAATATAAAGGGCCCCTCACTTTGTTGTTGTCTTTTTTACTTGTATAAGTAAAACGACAGACTTGGTGACTCACGCCTGTAATCCCGGCACTTTGGGAAGCCATGGCCAGAAGATGGCTTCAGGCCGGGAGTTGAGATCAGCCTGGGCAACACAGTAAGACCCCATCACTAAATTTTTTTTTTTTAAATTAATACATGGTGGCACACACCTCTAGTCCCAGCTACTTGGGAGGCTGAGAGGGAGGATCATTTGAATCCAGGAGTCCGAGGCTGCAGTGGCCTGTGATGGCACCACTGCCTTCCAGCCTAGAAGACCCTGTCTCGAAAACAAAAAACAAATAATATGTGAGTATTTTCTCATTGTAGAAGACTCAGGCCTGTTGGAATAGGAACAGGAACTCACCCTGTCTGGATCCCAGTTTGACCTATCTTTTAAGCCTTTCTCTCTCTTTCTTTTCTTTCTTTTGTTTCTTTCTTTCTCTTTCTTTTTCTTTCTCTCTCTTTCTTCCCTCCCTTCCTTCTTTTTTCTTTCTTTCTTTTTGTTCTCTTTCTTCCCTTTCTCTCTTTCTCTCCTTCCTTCTTCCCTCCCTCCCTCCCTTCCTTCCTTCTTTCGTTCCTTGAGATGAGAGTCTTGGGCCGGGCACAGTGGCTCACGCCTGTAATCCTAGCACTTTGGGAGGCCAAGATGGACCTTGAGGTCAAAAGTTCTAGACCTGCCTGGCTAACATGGTGAAACCCTGAAAATGCAGAAAGGAAAAAAAAAAAATCAGCTGGGCGTGGTGACACTCACCTGTAATCCCAGCTACTAGGGAGGCTGAGTCAGGAGAATCGCTTGAACCCAGGAGGTGGAGGTTGCAGTGAGCCAAGATCGGGCCACTGCACTCCAGCCTGGGCGACAGAGTGAGACTCCATCTCAAAAAGCGAGAGAGATGAGGGTCTTGCTGTGTTGCCCAGGCTGAGTGCAGGTGGCTATTCACAGGCATGATTATTGCACACTGCAGCCTTGAACTCTGGGCTCAGCCTCTCAAGCAGCTAGACTGCCACCACGCCCATAAGCTTTTTTTCCCATACATTTACATATCAGCTGAGTCACATTCCAATGGCCGTGGGGGTGGCAGCCTCTTTCTGTGGGTACTAGAGTGAATCACTCTGACAAAGGAGTGCAAGAATCCTGGTGGGTCGCTCTGTAAGTCACCCCGAGGTAAACTGGGGAGAATGGTGAGCCTGCCCCACAGGGTTGTTATCAAATTCACAGCAGAGAGAGACCGCTGGGACCACTGGTGGGCACCACCACATTCAGTTCATTTTTGAATTTTAGTAGAGATGGGGTCTCACCATGTTGCTTAGGCTGGTCTCAAACACCCGGGCTCAAATGATCCACCCACTTTGGCTTCCCAAATCCTGAGATTACAGGTGTGAGCCACTGTGGCGGGCCAATAGCTGTGATCCTTAATTGCAGCAGGCACTGGGCGGAGCACTTTCATTCAAGTTAGTCAATATCAAGTTAGATCTGTTGGGCATCTACTAAGCACCAGGCCAGGCTGTGGGTGCTGGTGATAGGATAGGTAGAAACCTGCTCATGCAGGTCATTGTGATGATCTGGTGCCATCAGCCTGGAGAAAACCCAGGGACCACCCAGCCTGCCCCTGCATCTGATCCCTCTCCAGGGCCCTGCCTGGCTGTCCCCGGAATGTACCCACCCCACTCCTTTCTCTTTTGGAAGAGGCAGACCGAGCTTCCCTGGGATGATTCTGTTAATTATGTGTTGACATTTCTTCAGATGGCAATCTGTGAAGCTAATTGAGGACATTAGGATTGGACTTGTTTCCAGTTCCACACGTTAGTTGAGGTGTAGTTCATTGGCTAACCACCAGGGCTCCTGGTCACACGGTTCCATTGTTCCCTTATAGCCGCACCTTGGGCACGCTGACTCAGTTTCTCTCTGTGCTGCAGTTACTTCATCTAAAAAGTGAGATATCAGCTGGGTACGGTGGCTCACACCTGTAGTCCTAGCACTTTGGGAGGCTGAGGCAGGTGGATCACTTGAGGCCAGGAATTTGAGACCAGCCTGGCCAACGTGGTGAAACCCCATCTCTACTAAAAATATAAGAATTAGCCAGCTATGGTGGCAGGTGCCTGTAATCCCAGCTGCTTGGGAGGCAGCAGGAGAATCGCTTGAACCCAGGAGGCAAAGGTTGCAGTGAGCCGAGATTGCGCCACTGCACTCCAGCTTGGGCAATAG